AGGTTATTGTACCCAGTTGATACATTAAAAGAATTTTAAGTGTTGAGTTTGTTAGTAGGGCTAATACTTAAAAACCTGTATTATTTGTTTACATCAAACTTTGTTTAATTTTAGTGTTTTGAATGCAATACGCTCTTTTTTTCCTTCTTCATTTAGTTAGCTGGGCAGTTTCCTAGCACAAGAGACAATATATGTGCCTGGGATGATTAAATAATGTTAAATATCTATCTGCTTGTTTTTATCAGGCACAATAAAAGCTCAGACACAAGCTATTTTATCTGTGCCCAATAAAATACCAATGTTTCTCTGAAAATTCTATTCCCCTGCTCTGTATAACAGTATCTTGCACTCATGAAAATTGTTTATTAGGTGCTAAAGTTTTTTTTTTTTTTTTAAATAGAGTTTGTAAACAAAAACACAACAACCTTACATGCTGTACATTTCCCTTACATTGCAAGACAAATGCAAAATAGTGAAAACGGAACTCAAACAACCTACATCCATTCTTTTAACCCTTCCCAATGTCAGGACGTGCGATGCCATCTGTGACAAACGCCCTGTGGTCTGGTGGTTGCCACAAGCTCAGCTAGCCAGCCTCCTGCCCCAGGAATATGGGCCATACAAAATACCCGGCTGTGGCGAAACCAACCTCGCCACTGTGAACTGGAGAAGCCTGGTTGCTCGCCTGCTCCCTTTGGACTATGGCCCTGCAGGTTAAACTGTTTATTTCCCCTGCAGAAAGGCTTATTTGTGTGATCTGAGTGCCATTCATCTAATAATGTGCACTCAGATCCCAGCTATCTGGGGATATGTGAAATGTCTGTGTGTTATGTGTAAATGTGACTTTATGTATTTTAAAGTGTTTTGTGTCTTTTTGCAACCATGTGCTTAATGGAGTCTTGTGTCTGTCCTGGGAGATAATTGAATTACTTATCTCCAGGATAGAAGACTCTGAAACTGGTTTGGGCCAGAAAGCCATGCTTCATTTAGTCACAAAGGACTTTTTACTAACTTTTGAACCCCTTGTCTGATTTGTGCCATTTTTGAATATGTTGTTCCCCTGAATGGATTGATTGTGAATATGTAATTTTATGTGAATGTGATGTATGGTTTTGGAGTTATGAAAGTTGGGTAGAAAGTATGTTTTAACTGTATATATAATTGAGTTTCCTCTCAGGATAAGGGGAGGGAATATGTGGGATGTAACTGTGATGTGATTGGTTGTTTTGTAACGCCCTGTGGGCTGTACTATGTTTGTGGATTGGGAATAAAAGAGACTGTATGTGACAGTACAGAGAGTTCCTGTTTTAACCCTCAAAGTGAAGTGTCGTCTCATTATTGGGGGAAGGATTTATTGTATGCTGTTCCAGTTTGACTGCTAGGAGAGTAAACCTATTCGTATGGTTCCTATTCAACTGTCTACAGCATTCATATGCTTGAGAGAATTTATTGCTTCTACGGTTCGGTGATTGTGGTGTCTGCTGCAGTGCTTGGAGTCCTCAGGAAGCGCTAGGAGCATCCTTCAACGGAGGTACCCAGTCGGGGTGCCAGGCGATCCGTTACATTGGTGGCAGCGGTGGGATGGCGTCCTAGTGCGAGGTAAAGCAGCTCAGAGACACAGTTCGTTTGGATTTACAAATTGAGGGCAACGCTAGCACACGTGCAGCGACCCTGGGAGCAGAGGTATCCAGCGACTTGGAGCAGACAAGTATGGAAGGCTCTGGCGATGATTGGATGGCCGAGGTGAGGCAGCGAGTGGCCCAGTATGGGGATGATTTACCCATGGAGGTACGCCGGGTGATCTGGAACCAGGTCACGGCCGAGCGAAACACAAGGCTGGCCCGAGAATTCCGGCTGGCGAAAGAGAGAGAGTATGCTCAGCGGAAGGAGTGTTACAGCAGCCGAGTAGAGGCTGCATCCGAGGAGGCTAGCCGTCTCCCCCTGAGGCGGCCGCAGGAACCCGAAGTAGGGGTCCTCATAGACTGGTCCTGTGAGGAACCACAACAGGCATGTGGAGATGGGACCGGCCCAGATCCCCAGCAGCAGCCGGAGTTGCCAGGTGCGGAAGCAGGTGGTCCTTACTCGCAAATGTTGAGGGACCTCACAGACTGGTCCTGGGCAGACCCACAGATGGCAGGTGGAGATGGGACGGCGGTCTCTCAACCGGCCCTACAGGGATGCTGGGCGGTCGGCCCAGATCTCCAGCGGCAGTATGTACCCCAGGGAGCTGAAGGTGCAGTCCTTCCTCCCCAGCGGCAGTGTGCACCCCAGGGAGCTGAAGGTGCAGTCCTTCCTCCCCAGCGGCAGTGTGTACCCCAGGGAGCTGAAGGTGCAGTCCTTCCTCCCCAGCGGCAGTGTGTACCCCAGGGAGCTGAAGGTGCCGTCCTTCCTCCCCAGCGGCAGAGTGTCCTGCAGGGAGCAGAGACCGTCAGTCTCGCACCCCAACCACAGGACAAAATAATGAAAGGGGAGACAGCTGGTCCCCCTCTCCACCAGCAGAGAGAGGAGCTTGTTACACCCTCTCTCCAGCGGCAGCCTAACCCAGCAAGGGGAGATGTTACACCCCCCAACAGTGCAGATGGGACTGTAGTCTCTGCACTTACAGCACAAGGGGTAGGGACAGTCGGTCCTGTTCCCCAGCCACAGAGCGGTGTATCCAGAGGGGAGACAGTCGGTCTCTCCCTCCCACAACCAGGCTCCCACCAGGCTACTTCCGTGGTAGCACTGGCATCAGGGCAGAGTACCGCTGGTCTCTGCCCACTCAGCAACCCACCAAGGCAGCCTAACAGTTGCCCACACAGTCGTGGTGAGGCACCTGGACATGGACAAAGTTCTCCTCTACCCAGGTGTAGTAACCAGTTATTGTGGGTGGGCTGTACTGCTGTTTCTGTTTTGTGGGTGGGTTGCTGGACTAACCAGGGCACTGACCGGCGGGAGGTCAGATACCCTGTTAGTCTAGTTGGTAAAGGGGAGAAGTGTGGCGAAACCAACCTCGCCACTGTGAACTGGAGAAGCCTGGTTGCTCGCCTGCTCCCTTTGGACTATGGCCCTGCAGGTTAAACTGTTTATTTCCCCTGCAGAGAGGCTTATTTGTGTGATCTGAGTGCCATTCATCTAATAATGTGCACTCAGATCCCAGCTATCTGGGGATATGTGAAATGTCTGTGTGTTATGTGTAAATGTGACTTTATGTATTTTAAAGTGTTTTGTGTCTTTTTGCAACCATGTGCTTAATGGAGTCTTGTGTCTGTCCTGGGAGATAATTGAATTACTTATCTCCAGGATAGAAGACTCTGAAACTGGTTTGGGCCAGAAAGCCATGCTTCATTTAGTCACAAAGGACTTTTTACTAACTTTTGAACCCCTTGTCTGATTTGTGCCATTTTGAATATGTTGTTCCCCTGAATGGATTGATTGTGAATATGTAATTTTATGTGAATGTGATGTATGGTTTTGGAGTTATGAAAGTTGGGTAGAAAGTATGTTTTAACTGTATATATAATTGAGTTTCCTCTCAGGATAAGGGGAGGGAATATGTGGGATGTAACTGTGATGTGATTGGTTGTTTTGCAACGCCCTGTGGGCTGTACTATGTTTGTGGATTGGGAATAAAAGAGACTGTATGTGACAGTACAGGGAGTTCCTGTTTTAACCCTCAAAGTGAAGTGTCGTCTCATTATTGGGGAAGGATTTATTGTATGCTGTTCCAGTTTGACTGCTAGGAGAGTAAACCTATTCGTATGGTTCCTATTCAACTGTCTACAGCATTCATATGCTTGAGAGGATTCATATGCTTCTCCGGTTCGGTGGTTGTGGTGTCTGCTGCAGTGCTTGGAGTCCTCAGGAAGCGCTAGGAGCATCCTTCAACGGAGGTACCCAGTCGGGGTGCCAGGTGATCCGTTACACCGGCAAACTACTTTGTCCGTGTGATTTGGGATTATGTTGTTCAGGAACCAAACCAGAAACCACCCGGAAGCTTGTTAAGCCCAATTGACATGGTGTTCCAGGGTAGAAGTATGGATTCTGTTCGGTAGTTGTTTGTTTTTAAACTACCGAACTTGACCAAAATTATGACTTCCATGGAAATCCCGAACTCCTGAACCGATCTAGGTGATTTTTGGATATGTTGGTCACCCAAATCGGGGGTATCAGGGGATGTAACTTGTGTGGGTTTTCGGGGTTTTGTTATATTGCCTGTTTCAATAATTCCATTATATGTTTGTGTGCTCAATTCATTATTTTTCAGGCACAGGGGAGGAGTATGTTAGATGTTTGCTTGTAACTAGTCTCCTCTCAGGTCCAAGGGGAGGGATTATCCTGTTTTGTGTGGGAGTGTTATGGTTGTGTTTGACTGTGTCTAAATTGTATAAAAGCAGTCCATCTGGCCAGATTAAAGCATTCCAGTTTGTACTCCCAGAACTATGTGTTGTTTGTTTAGTGGGAGGGGAAAGGGCTTATCACTGTTCCAGCTTTTTCCAGCCTGAAGGATTCAGCTGGGAAAGTCCTTGTAAGGACTAGAGCTCCCAGGACTGAGTGTCGTCCAATGCCTGGGGGTGGACAGCGCGAGTTCCCCATTTGGCTCCATGGCAGCGGTTCCAGGACCCCAGTCAAGCCACGGTGACTGTGGGCAGAAGTGCTGTGGCTTGTCCTCTGTTCCAGCTGGAAAGCAGTCCTTGGCAGAGGTACCCAGCCAGGTGCACCAGGAGCTCCGTTACATTGGTGGTAGAGGTGGGATGGCTTCCTAGCTGTGGGAAAACCAGTACTACTTCAGAAATATGGAAGGCAAGTAGTGCCAGGCAGTATCTGGCTTTGACGCCAGGCTCCAGCAGCGACTACAGGATGTGCTGTGCAGTATGGAGTACTCAGAGGAAAGAGAGACAGAGTGGAGAGTGGTGCTTTGAACCGATCTCTGGAAGGAGGACATCGACAAAATTTGACCCTTCCAGAGCGAGGAACTCCCAACCACCAACCAGCGCCAAGCGGAACAGCTGGAGCTGTGGATGCCATTCCTAGGAGACCAGACCTCAGAGGAATGGGTAAGCGTACCGGAAACACTTGATGCAACTGAGGTGTGGCTAGATGATTTATACCGGTCCCTGCGGTGGCATGCCTACCACCTCTACCCATTGCTGGTCAAGTATAAGTGTAGTAAAGGGGGAGAGTACGATGGCCCTGGTTTGTTGTGGGAGGCTTTTGAAACTAGTCTGGGATTCAGAGAATCTGACAGTGCCTGCTTCTGGTCCATCCAAACTGAGCGGGCAGACACCTGGGACCTTACTGAGATGACTGCCATTCAGCCAGACCTGTCTTTTCTTGCCAACTAGGAGTCGGAACTAGAACAGGATTATGTGTGCCTATTTCAAAGGGTAATGTCGCCTGTCTGCAAAATTATGGGGTTTATGGACTGTGGAACACCAGGAGAGTTAAGTTTCATACCTTCTTCCCAGCAGCTGTGCCTGTCATCAGGAGACAAGGCACCTGGCACTGATGGTGCAGATGGGACCGTGGTCTCTGTGCCTGCCGACCAGAAAAAGCTGGATGGTTGACCCAGACCTGCCACACTCTAGATGGGAGGACCTGGCTGTTGTACCCCCTGTTTCACTACCAGCTCCAGAAACAGGGGACCTCATAGACTGGTCCTGGGAAGACATCCAGTTGGCAGGTGCAGATCTGCCCAGATCCCCAACAGCAGCGTACACTACAGAGACAGGAGACAACTGGTCTCTCTCCCCAACCCCAGCTGGAGATACAGGGAGTGGAGACGGTCGGTCCCACTCCCTAGCAGCTGTGCCTGTCATCAGGGGACCTCATAGACTGGTCCTGGGATGACTTCCAGTTGGCCCGTGCAGATGGGACCGAAGTCTCTGCACCAGCCTGCATAGATCCCCAACCACAGCTGGAGATACCGGGAGTAAGGGCAACCGGTCCCACTCCCCAGTGGCAGCAGACTTTGCAGGGAGAAGAGGCAACCAGTCTTTCTCTCCAGTGGCAGCCAGAGATACAGAGAGAGGAGACAGCTGGTCCCTCTCCCCAACCACAGTGGGAGCACATGGAAGTGGGGACAATTGGTCCCACTGCCCAGAGGCGGTGCCTGTTATCCAGAGACAGGACACCAAGAGCGGATGGTGCAGATGGGACTGAGATCACTGCACCAGCCCTATAGGGATGCAGGGCAGCCTGCCCAGATACCCAACCACAGATGGGGATATCAGGAATGGGAATAGTCGGTCCCCCTTCCCAGGCAGCTGAGCAAGTTATTGGAAGAAGAGACGGTCGTCTCTCTCCATGGGGGCCGAGCGAGTTACAGGGAGAGAAGTGTGTCGTCCTTCTTCCCCAGTGGCAGAGTGCATTATTGGGAGTAGAGATGGTCGGTCTCTCTCCCAATTGGCAGCCGGAAAGCCTGGGGGTAGAGGATACCATCCCTCCCCAGCCACAGCGTGAATGCCAGGGAGAGGGGGTAGTTGATTCCTCTCCCCAGCGACCAATGCCCAACCATAACCCGGGTGCAGTGGAGGGAACTATGGCCTCCACTGACACCCTCCCAGCAGAATAGCTGACATCAGGACAGAGCGCAAGCCAACCAATCAGAATACTCATAATAATATTGCATAGTGACAACTTACCTGGGGACCCTAAAAAGCTTCACTAATTATTCTGGGAGGGCGACAAGTCACTTACGTCAGTGTTTCCCAACCCAGTCCTCAAGGCACACCTACCAGTCCAGGATTTAGGGATTACCCAGTTGTGTCTAAGGTGTTTTTTTTCTTCTTTGTAAAAACACATTAGACACAACTGGGTAATCCCTAAATCCTGGACTGGTAGGTGTGCCTTGAGGACTGGGTTGGGAAACACTAACTTACGTCACCATAACTACTTCATCAGGATAAATGGTTATAATGCTCAGTGTTCCTTTAAAAAAGTTTCACAGCAGATCTTCGTGACTGCTTGCTTTTGTATTACACAATAGAGTGCACATATATTCATAAAGGTAAGTTTGTGCACGCTCAATGTCGTTTCAATTATTTTGATGTTGAATAATGTATAGATAATTATATCATCACATTGTTCATAGTCTGCAGCTTTTTATTGTAGAAAACACACCTGTTCAGTTATGTACATGACATCTCGAATGCAGCTAAATGTTCTAATCATATTTTTATTACTGAATGCCCCAATGCTTCAAACAAACTATTTATGTTTTTTTTATCCTTTGTGTATTGTCTGTTCTCTCATTTACCACTACTCTTTGGTGTGCTGTCTTGTGCGTTCTTCTGGTTCTTCTTCTGTAAGTGCCCTATTAAGATTGGGTCCTGATGGCGACTTATCTGCCTGCTAGTGTTCATTTTATAGTGCTAACAGGTGACAGGTGTAACATTAACCTATTATGACCTCAATTTAATATTTTGTTTCAACGTATCAAAACTATATAATATCTATAATAGTTAATACATTGCTAAACACAAATACACACACCAGTCAAGCCATAAGACTTGCTTTTCCCACTGAAATCTTACTTTAACAGTGCTCTCACTACTGCAAGGGATTCTGGGTAGGCGTATGCAATTGAGCTCAAGAACCACATTTTTGCCTTACAATTCCACTTTATACATGGATTCCTTGGAGTATGTGTTTGCAGTATACAACAGCTTTGAAACACAACTCAGGAAGAGGAGCAAAGCCAGTGAATGACTCATGAGTATCGATATATTAAAAAGTATCACATTTTCAAAATGTTAAATAATTTTAAAATCTTATCAAAAAAATATCAAGTCGAAGCCTTTGGTCCTTATTTTGAAGTACCGTGCACATGTGTATTTGTTGAGTTATTGAATTCGCTGTGTAATATTTTCAGCACTTGTACATAGTTTCAGTGCTTGTTTGTCTTTTAATTGTTCTAATTGATTAACAATGAATCCTTACTAACAGGTTGGGTATGTTGCTTGCAAACATCATCGACAAAATAAAGGTGTTTGTGGTGTTCTGATCATACACAGATTTTTGGGGTATTGATTAATTGTTAGAAAAGTGTTTTGAATCCTTTTTTAAGTTCTCTAAGTGTCCAATGATCCCAATAATGTATTAATTATTCTTCATCAGTGGTACTGTAATTGCTTAAAGGACCACTCTAGGCACCCAGACCACTTCAGCTTAATGAAGTGGTCTGGGTGCTAGGTACCTGTAGGATTAACCCTTTTTTTTTATAAACATAGCAGTTTCAGAGAAACTGCTATGTTTATACTGAGGGTTAATCCAGCCTCCAGAGCCTCTAGTGGCTGTCTCATTGACAGCCGCTAGAGGCGCTTGCGTGCTTCCATCATTGTAAATGCTTTCCTATGCGACCGGCTGAATGCGCGCGCGGCTCCTGCCGCGCATGCGCATTCAGCCGATGACGTCGCGAGCAAGGAGGAGAGGAGGAGTACAGCTCCCCACCCGGCGCTGGAGAAAGGTAGGTGTTTAACCCCTTCCTCTCCCCAGAGCCGGGCAGGAGGGGGACCCTGCCCGGCTCTGGAATTATTCTTGCACTCTCCTTGATAGCACTATAGACACAGTCAGAAACAAACCTAGAGAAAGTCTTTTAACGTACAAGAAGTATGATAGATTTAGAATGATTATCTGGTAATTAAAATTTGAGCCTGCTTGTGTATTCTCTTCAGAGCCTTCTTTAACACGGGGCAAACGGGGCAGCAGCCCGAGTCCCTGTTACTGCTGGGGGCCCAAAGCAGCTGTCCTGTTTGCCCTCTGCCCGCAACAATTTATTTTTGTATTGCGCATCCTAAAATAAATTGTTGCGGGCAGCGCACCCACACACTAAGGGGGCCCATCGGGTGGCTTATGCATTTAGGGGGCTGTGGCCCTTTAACATTGCGACCGGGCCCATTGCCTTTCGGCAGCCATCTGGGAAGAAGTGACGGCACTTTACGTCCTCCCAGAAAACACCAAGCTGCGCGGGAGGGAAGAGGACCAGCTGTTCAGGAGCAGGCAGTGAGGAGAGGGCCAGGCAAGGAGAAAGCTTAACTCCCAGTCACCTCAGCCAGCAAACTAGTCCCCAGGGAAGTCAACCTCCGGTAAAAGGTAAGAAACTGGAGGATGGCTATCAATTTGTAAATTTTGCATATGTGTCTGACTATTTGTGCTAGCGTGTCTGAGTGTGCATGTGTGTGTGTGTGTGTGTCTGTCAGTATGTCTGTCTGAGTGTGTGTCACTGTGCCTGTCTGTGTGTATGTCTGTCAGTGTATGTGTGTTTCAGTATGTCTGTGTGTGTCAGTATGTCTGTCTTTGTGTGTCTCAGTATGTCTGTGTGTGCGTGTGCATGTGTGTCTGTGCCATTATGTCTGCCTGTGTGTGTCTGTGTGTGCCAGTGTGTCTGTGTGCATGTGTGCCAGTATGTCTGTCTGTGTGTGTGCCAATATGTCTGTCTGTCAGTATGTTTGTCAGTGTGTCTATGTGTGTTTCAGTATGTCTGTCTGTGTGTGCCAGTATGTCTGTCTGTGTCTGTTTGTGTGTCAGTATGTATGTCTGTTTGTTTGTCAGTATGTCTGTCTGTTTGTGTGTCAGTATGTCTGTCTGTTTGTATGTGTGTGTGCCAGTATGTCTGTGCATGCACCAGTATGTATTTCTGTGTGTGTGTGCGTGCGTGTGCCAGTATGTCTGTGTGTATGTGTGCCGGTATGTATGTCTTTGTGTGTGTCAGTATGCCTGTCTGCGTGTGTGCCAGTATGCCTGTCTGTGTGTGGCAGTCTGTCTGTGTGAGTGTGCTACTATGTCTGTGTGTGTGTATGTGTATGTCAACCCCCTCTGTTCCTGTACGTCAGTGGTCTGATCTCAATTATGTGTCTGTTAGTCCACCCATTGTACAGCGCTACGGAATTTGTTGGCGCTATATAAATAATAAAATAATAATAATAATAACTCACACGCGGTCCTCACCGGCAACGAGGACAGAGAAGAGGAATCAACTCTTACACAATCCATTGGCATCCGGGTCTGGATTACAGATTTTTACTCCTTTTTTTTTTATCTGAGACAAAATTGTCTATTCACCTACCCCAGCATTTCACCATTATTTTAATATTTTGAATTTTTAGACATTTTTATACTTTTCAATAAAATCTTCATTTTTTAACAATCAATTTAGCTTCAAGTGACTATTTTTTAGGAATATAATAACATCTGTTACTAATGCAAGGCATTTAGTTTGTCTATACTAAACTGCCGATTGTACCAATTTAGGTGCTTGTTTATCCAGCAATGTTGTTACAAGTTGGGTCATAGCTACTTATGATACATTATTATTGCACTAACTGGATCTAACCATTCCCTTTAA